GGATGGGTGTGTCAGAAGCAGTGTGTTTGGTGCAGGATAGAACAGGGTTTAGGGCTGTTGTGCATAGGGTCGCTATGAGTCGCAAACGACTTTACGGCACATAACAACATCAACAACATGGCCTGAATAAGGTGCACCTTAGTCTCCAGACTGACAGCCTTGCTATTCAATACTTTGGAGAGGACTTTGACAGCAGACTTTCCCAATTCATCTTTTAATTTCCTGGCTGCAGGACCAAGATTGTGGAGACAAGAAAACGAAATTAAAGCTGTTTATAATTTTGGTCTCTTCACCATCTATCATTAAACTGACAATCAGCTCAGTGGTGAGAATCATTGTTGTCTTGATTTTGAGCTCTAATCTATATTGAAGGCTGTAGGCCTTGACCTTCTGAAGCAAGCGCCTCAGGTCCTATACTTGGACCAAGAGGCAGTAGTCAGAACAGAGCAGGGTAACACTGCAGGATTGTGTCATCTGCATAATGTGGATTGTTGATGAGTCTCCTCCAATCCTGATGTCACATTTTTCCTCACAAAGGCCAGCCTCCCAGATAATCTGTTCTGCATACAGACTAAAAATGTATTGAGATAGGACACATCCTTGGTGCATACCCTTCCCTATTTTGAATCATGCAGTGTTCCCTTGCTCTGTTTTGATGACTGCCTCCTGGTCCAAGTATAGGTTTCACATAAGAATGAGCAAGTGTACAATCCCAGAGGCGCACGGTTCGAATCCACCAGATGCTCTGCCGGGGAAGGAGGGACAATCTCCTCCTGTACCAGTCAGATCTGATTTGATGGTACACGCACACACACACAAAAAAAAATTAAATAAAAAAAAAAAAAGAATGAGCAAGTGTTCTGGAATTTCCATTCTTCTCCGAATTAGCCACAGTTTGTTGTGGTCCACACAGTCAAAGCGTTTTCATAGTCAACGAAACACAGATAGACATGCCTCTGGTATTCCCTGCTTTCAGTCAAGATCCATCTAACATTAGCAACAATATCCCTAGTACCATAGCCTCTTCTAAACCTAGACTTCTGCCAGTTCTCTGTTGATGGATAAAAATATATCCCTATTCAGAAAGCTAATTTTCAAGGCTGTGGATGTGAATTATCTGTTTAAATGATGGGACAATTCAAGCAGAAGTTGTATCCACTTCCTAGACAACATGCCTCCAGAAACTCTATGAACTTTTATAAGTGTTGATAGTTATAGAAAGGCTTTTGTTCATAAAATCTCTGTGAATCGTGCTTGACTCGAAGGCAATCAACAACAGCAATACAAATATAAGAGATGCTTTCATATTTCATAATAGATGCTTTGCCAAAAGTGTTTGAAAAGGGATTACAACATGATTGAGCTATAATGTGAATCAGTTGTATTCCAAATGTAATCATATCTCTGGAAGCAGGATTGGCATCTGCTTCGTAAACAACATGCCTCTGGAAACCCTATGAACTTTGATAAATAACAATAGTTACAGAAAGGCTTTAAGCCTTTTGTTCATAGGGTCACTATGAGTTGTGCTCAACTTGATGGCAATCAACAACAACAACAGTTCCTAAGACAGCAAGTAGTAATGTCCCAAGACATTACCAGCAGCTCTCCTTAATTTTTCTGTTTTATGTAAGTATGATATTGAGATGGCCTAGATTTTTTTACATTTAAGTTGAATTATCAAACTAAGTAACTGCTATTGGTTGCCCTCAAAGATCAATTATGACCCTTATGCTCAACAAGGATTGGCTGATCCAGGACCATGAGTTCATCAGCAAAGCATTATGCTCTAGGCTGTCCAGGAGAGTATAAAAGGGAGCACAGGAGCCCTGCCACACTATCTCTCCCATAGTTTCTGAACATCTAGAGGATAGGATGTAAAACACGTACTGTAATTGAGTAAGGGTTTGGGAAATGTATGGTCAGACTGAGTTTTAATGTCTCAAAGCGATGTAGCAAGGTGAGAGGCAGCAATGAAAGTGTTGTGGCCATGGGGATATTAATTTCCATGTCAGCCATTGGCTCAATTTGGCAGCAACTGCTCCTCAAACAAAGCAGTGTTGTGAGTGGCAGAGGAAGGGAGGAAAGGAAAATAAACAGAGTCTTGGAAATAAGATGTGGCATTTGCTTTATTCCCCCAGCCCCCTTTAGTTGCAGAAAGACTTCTTTGCACTTGAGCTTAAAACAAAAATCCCTTCCAGCATGTGGTATAAACCTAAGGAAATTTCCATTAAAGAAACTTTGATTAAGATGATTAAGAGTTAACAAGACTACCCTTAATATGTGTGTGTTGTTGTTGTTTCTAGGACTTCCTCATAAGGTAATTTACTATTCACTCCTAGGGAGAAAACTGAGAAGCCCCCTCAACATAGTCCTCTGTGATACTTTCAATATTAAATATCTGCTCTATTTTCTAATGACTTTGCCTTAAAATATTTGTAGGTGTTTTATAGATGTATCATTTATCCATTGTGTGTTAAGCCTTTCTAATTTTGTTGTTATCGTGTCAGAATTGACCCATAACTGACCCTCTAGCTGGTTTTCAGAGGCAGTTAATTGCACAGGAAGAGACTGCTCATCCTCCTGTTTTCTAAATTTAGGATACAATCTTAGTATAAAGTCTAGCACTGGAATAACTCATTCTGTATTCGTTGCTAGTGGGACCTCAGAGGTCTGGTATGATATTATAGGAACTAGTCCTAGTTCAATATTTGAAGCATAGGAAAGCTCTGTGACCAAGTTGATGGAACTTTTCTGTTTTCTAGTTCTGTGGTTTATGTTCAGTGCAAGGTTTCAAGCAAAAAACTTTATGTGTCCACCTCTCCTTCACCAATGTAGGACTTTTTTGCAGTAGCAATACAGTAAATGCTCTGTTGTGACATGAGTTTATATGACGGAATAGACTGGACAGGGAACTGATTGTTACCTTCTAGAAAAAACTCACAACTCAATTCTATGATTCTTTCAATGAGTGATGAGGACCTTTCATTTATTCTTATGCCATATTCTTTTTAATTTTTTTATATTTTATACTGGTTTACATACAAAGTTCATAAAGTTCGTATGTGCTGTCAGTCCACCGGCAACTTAACAGTGACAATCTGATGGGAGTAAGCATGACAGAGACGCCACTCCGGGAGAGTTACAGTTAGACAGGATAGGGTGAGCTTACAGACGTGGGACATGTGGATTGATCAGGAGAACCTCAGCCTCCTTCGGATCACTCCCAGCACAGCCATCTTTCCAGGTGGCGAGCTTTCTCCAGCAGGTACAGCTAAACAAAGGAGAGTTTTCCCTACCCCGTATTAAAGGCCTTTGAGAGGCTTGCACCTGTCTGGAGCTCAGGCGACTGGTCCTGGCCAGAGGCCTTCCCTTCCTCCCCAACATTCCGCAACATTTGTATACATTTTTTTCCCCTCACTGGATCTTTGCCGTTTCCTGTACCCATCCCTCCCTCCAATCATCAAATCGTATGACCCTATGATTAAGCCCCCCTCCTTGGATCCTCATACTCATTCTACAATAATGGTTTTACACAATATTTGTCTTTATGAGACTGAATTAGTTCACTTAGCATAATGCCCTCCAGTCCCTCCCAACTTAAGTAGTAATTTACAAAATCCTTGATCCTGTATGCTGCACAGTATTCCATTGTGTGAATGTACCATAATCTCTCAATCGATTCCATTGTGGTTGGGCATTTGTGCTGTTTCCATGTTCTTGCTATGGTGAATAACGCTGCTTCTGTAATTGGAGCTCTGGTTAGCACAACGGTTGAGGAGTTGCGCATGCAGAAATCAAAGGCATGCAGAATCCAAAGGCAATGCAGAATTCACCAGCCACTTGGTAGGAGAAATATGGGCAATCTCCACCCCACCCTCGTGGAATTTATAACCTCTGAAAATTCACCAGAGCTATGAGTCGGTTTAACTCCACGGCCAATCACTGTGTTGAGTCTTTATTTGGGAATGGGGAATAAATCAATCTAATCCCACTACTCATATATTTCAGTTTTCCTTTCCTTGTTTTAACATACGTGATTGCACTTATTGCCTTGTGATTTGCTCCCTCCTCCCCTGCTTTGGAAGTGGATTTCTTTTAGGTAGTTTTTCCTGTGTCATAAAATATTCTTAGATCGCTTTTAACCTTTTCGTTCCTTTCCTTTCCTCTAGGGTACCAGGGGCCAGAGAGGCCGAATCTCTGAGCGCTGCTGACGTGGCTGGTGATAGAAGCAATATGGTCAAGTTATAAGACTGGGGAAAGATTCATTGAGAGTGAAACCTTGAAGAACACCTTAAGACTTAACGGAATTTTCAACATTAGAACTTTTGTATATCGTTTTCAGTAGATATCGGCAGGGGGCGCTCGTTAACGGTGGCCCCTTTTGGGACAGGCTCCCGGACTTTACCCTCTAGAAAAGTGCACTGTGTTTCCGGCTTTTCTCAGTTGTAGACACTCTCCTGAGGTTTCGGTAGTTTCCGGAGAGACTGGGGCCTTTGCGTACCCCCTCGCTCGCTCTACAGGGAATTGCCTGGCGTGGTAGTGCAGTCTTAGGCAAATCATGGCGTCCCCATCTAGGAGACTGCAAACGAAACCGGTCATTACCTGTCTGAAGAGTGTCCTCTTGATATACACGTTGATCTTTTGGGTGAGAAATGGTGGCGCCTAAGGGGCGCGGCAGGGAGACCTAGGGCTCAGTTGGGTGGTGTGACCTCAAGCAGAGGGAGCCAAGGCTGTGGTCGAGGGTGAGGTGGGAGGTACAACGAAGCTCTTGGAACCCCCTTGCACTGGCGATGAGCCTGACCTCAGCCAGAGAGAGGGGTCGACAGCCAGAGGACGAAGGCAGTTGGCGGACTGTGCTGGTACTCAGATGTTCCTGATGTGTGAGTGGGATGCTGGAATGGGGTCCCTTAAGAGTATCTCATGCCTTTGTAGGCAGGGCTTGCATAACTCCAGTTAAGGGCTCGTTCACTTAATAGACTGTTTTCACTGCTTCCTAAGAGGGGATTGCGCAGGTAAGTATGGAATCATTCCTCTCCTGCCAATCTATCCTGGGACTGACATTTGTGTATCATCCATCCCTTAGTAGCCGAGGCTGAGGGTGGAGGAGAGGAGGGGAGAGTTGCTGGAACTCACTTTACTTTCTCCCTTTATAAAGGCCTTCTTAAGAAAGTTTAGATCCTTAGGGTAAATATGTCATTCTTGTATAAAAAACGAAACCAAATCAACGAGGAAGTTTAAAGAATTTTTATAAAATCTCTAGTTACTTTGATTTTGCTATGACCAAGTAATCCTGTGTAGATTTACCTCAGCCTGCATGTCCCCTCTCCATTATTACCCCAGCACTCCCTATCTGTGGTCACACCATTAAGTCAATGTTTACACCTATTGTGTCTTAAATACTTTGTGACTTGTGGTTTGAAGATGCTGGTGGCTACAATACATAACCTTCTAATCTCTGATCTCTCACCAGATAACTGGTGTTATCCTTCTTGCCATTGGCATTTGGGGTAAGGTGAGCCTGGAGAATTATTTTTCCCTTTTAAATGAGAAGGCCACCAATGTCCCCTTCGTGCTCATTGGCACTGGCACTGTCATTATTCTTTTGGGCACCTTTGGCTGTTGTGCTACCTGCCGCACTTCGACTTGGATGCTAAAACTGGTGAGTACTTAAGATTTGATTCTTGATTTTAGAAAACTTTTATTGAAGGTTTCGTTGTTTCATTGTAAATGTTTCCTGGTCCTCATGAAAACTTACAGCTAACCATTTGGCTGCCAATATCAAGTCCTTGTGTTTTCCCTGCCCTTGCTGACTTGGATGTTTTTCTTTTTTTATCCCTCAGTATGCAATGTTTCTGACTCTCATTTTTTTGGTTGAACTGGTCGCTGCCATCGTAGGATTTGTTTTCAGACATGAGGTATGTCTGAATTATCTTAGAGCTAGATGTCAACTTAGAATTCAGAGTTCACCTGCATTCTGTTCTAGGGGAGTCAGGAGTGGAATAGAGAAGTACATGCTTCCATTTGAATAAAATGAATGTTATAGCACTTTGAACCATTGGTCAGTTGGAGGTGTTTCTTTTTTTTACCCAGAAACCAAAAGAACTGTGTAGAACCTTTGTTTACTAGCATTATTTCTCCACTGTAGATTAAAAGCAACTTCAAGATTAATTATGAAAAAGTTCTGAAGCATTATAACACTACAGGAGATTATAGAAGTGATGCAGTAGACAAGATCCAAAGTACAGTAAGTAATTCTACTTGGTGGTTCTATGAGAAAGAAAGACATTCTCTATCCCCTCAAGAGAATATGTTATGAGTACTAGTACTGAAGGCACAATCCTTTTGGCATTAGAATAGAGGTAGAGCACAAATTGAGATAATAGACATAAGTTAAATGTTATATTTACTGTGCTTTTGTCGCCTTTTCAGTTACATTGTTGTGGTGTCACCTCATATACAGATTGGCAAGATACTAATTATTATTCAGATCAAGGATTCCCAAAGAGCTGCTGTAAAATTGAATGTTCTCCAAGCAAAGATACAAATAACATAAACAAAGAAGTAAGGGGCCTTGTAACAGTTTATTCAAAAATATCTGAGTATTTAAACAACTAAATGCAAAGTTGACTCAACAGGTTTATGTAACTAATCACTTTTTAATGCACTTGGAAAAAAGTAGAAATGGTTGGGGCCTGTGCCTTTTAAAAAATATGTTTCAAGGGTTTTTTTTTATGATGGGGAATAAATTTTGGTAAAAAAAAAGGCTAAACCCATTTTTTTCCTGAGAAATATGATCAGAGGTTTGGGAGTTTTTTTCCTATAAAAACATAAATTGCTTGTGTTGGGCTTAATGCTGTTTTCTGTCCTTTTAGGGCTGTTTTATAAGGGTCATAGCAAGTATAGAATCACAAATGGGAGTTATTGCAGGATTTTCTTTTGGAGTTGCTTGCTTCCAGGTAAGTCCTTGTAGTTGCTTAGGAAAGCCTTTTTCTTTTTTAGAATGCTATAAGACTACTACTTTAAGGATTTTTCTTCAGGGGCCTGGGTGATGCTGACCCTCCAGCAGGTTTTCAAAAGCTATAATTGGCATGGCCCTTCTGTGAAGTATTTTTGCCTATCTTTCTCCCATTTCCTTTCCCTCCCATTTTCTAAAATACCATGGCATATATAAATCTGTACTGACTACTAAAAAAGCCACAATCTTTTACTACAATCTTTTAATTAAAAAGTTAAAAATTAATGAGGCTGACATCGGGGTGGGGGTAAGACTGAGAAAAACTGGATAAATTGTGTTTACTGCATTGAAGCCAATGAGGGAGAGAATAGTTTAAAAGTAATGATTATAAAAAAAAAAAAGTAATGATTATCATAAGAGTCCGGAATGAGGGTTGCAGAGTGGAGTATACTTGGGGTGGGGGTATGTGGGGGAGGGGATTGTGTACCAATACCAATAAAGGAGTTTTTCAAGGAGAGGAACGAACTGGGGTGTGTGTGTTTGTGTGTGTGTGTGTGTGTGTGAGAAAAGTGCAACAATGAATGAATGGAATTCCAAAATCTCTGTAGATGTTCATTGAAATTAATAATAATAAAAAAAGCAGTCAAAAGATCACAAAAAATGTTAAAAATTATTTCCTAATTTGTTCTAGCCATATTTCATGTGCTTAATAGCAGCATGTATGGCTAGTTGATACCATATTGGACACGTAGGTATTACCTTAAAAAAAATAGATATTACCCTAAAAAAAAAAAAGCTGTGTCTTTAGAAGAGTAAGAAGAATTTCTCAAACTTTTCACTACTGCTGTCACTTGTGAAAAGCAAACGTACCTATCTTCACCTCTTTAAGCATTTGTGTGTGTTTAAGTTAGCTCATATTTCATTTCCAGCTGATTGGAATCTTTCTAGCCTACTGCCTTTCTCGTGCCATAACAAATAACCAGTATGAGATTGTATAGCCAACATATCTGCAGGCTTATTCCTCTCCAACTTTAAGGTGAGTCCATTTTAGTTCTCAGTCCATACCTGCTATGGACTGAATATAGTACTTCTCCAGCAGGGTATTCAAACTTTTCTGATGCTCTGTCAGTTCTGTCAAACCAAACTAAATCAAACACAATTTTTAGCTCAGTTTGTGTGTGCACAAGCATCTCCACTTATGCAAGTTACACTGTAAATTGCTATTAAACATGTCAGCTTAAAAGCTCATAAAAGATCCCATGAAAATGTTTCAAATTAATTTTTTCTTTAGTTTTAGGACCCAAAATGTCAACCTTTTGTCCAAAAAAATAAGATCTTCTGAATGAAAGACTACTCACTGACTGCCAATAACCTAAAAAACAGCTGAGATTGCTTCCCAGTAGAGTTGATTCATTCAGGAGTTTGTGCAGTAGTCGCATCAATCAAGACATTTGCTCAATATGTTCTAAGTCTTTCTTCAGTCTCATTCATGTTAGATCTTTGAAGTGCCCCGTTTTACCCTGGAAGAGCTATTAAATTGTAAAATTAAATACTGTGTTCCTCTTGACTTTTTTCATCATTGTTAAGTCTTTTGTTGTTTTCACTGTGTCTGGTCTTTAAAAGGCACTATCACTTTGCTATTTCCATGTAGAATTGCCGTCTCTGAACTGCCCTCTATTCAGCCATGGTTATCTGGTTCAGTTGTGTAATTTGCATCAAGAATTTGAAATGCTGTCACTAGTGTCTGTTCTCCTAAAAGGCAGAGAATCACATTGTGCAATATAATTGCAGTAAGTATTGATAGCACTTGTCATCAGAGTTGCCATGTGGTGGTAATGGTCTCTGACCTAATGAACTCTAGACTAAAAGGAATGTTCTGTGACACATTAGGTTTCAGCACAATTACATTTGCCTCTGAATGATGTTGTTTGTGTTCATGTTTATATTTTCCCTTTCAAAAGGTTCTAGTTCTTTAATGATGGGGAAATTTACTGTGTTTTCATTAGCTTTAGCTGATAATTTTTTTAGTGGTTTGATATGATTTAATTGGTCAATGTTCTAGTTTTGGTCTGTGCTCTTAATCTTTTCCCCTCTTTTTTTTTTTAATTGATTTGCTTGCAAAGTTCGTATACATTGTGTTTCATACTACTTTTCATTCACATTGTGTTTTGTACAATCATTCTCATGCATTATGTATTCTTAATCTTTTTACATAATATTGTTTCAATAAAGTGTTTTCCTCTTAATTGTATTTAATTTTTCATAACTTGGTATGATTGTTTTCTACTGAAAAAGCTAAGCCACACATTTCTTCTTGGGGCACAATTTTTATTTTTTTTTTTAGCTTAAGACTTTTTTTTTAGGATAAATATATAGGTGCAAAAACATTTGCCATTAAAATAATCAAGTGACATTGTTTGTGCTTAATCATCACTCTTAGTAGAAACTCAGTGTTCCTGAAACACTGTATTCCTTTTCCTTGCCCACTATCTTTGGGGGACAGTTTGTAGATCGAAAAGATAAAGCTGAGGGATTCACTGTCAGGGATGTCACATTAAAAAAAAATCTATTTAAATAACTTTACAATACTTTTACAAAAGCTATTTTCCATACTATGAAACAGCATAAGTTTAGCATTCTCCTAAAGATCAGACTTTTTGAATAGTGAAAAGTATTTTGTATCTTAAGGAAATTATTACAGTTTCTGTTTTATTTGTACATCTGTTAGTAAATAACACTCTTATCTTTTATTGCCTCACCATAAGTAAATTTCTTAATATTAAAAAGGAAAATACAGAAAAATAGAAAATAAAACCACACAAGCCTCCTTAAGGTTTGTGTTTTAGAAATTCCTTTTAATTCGGTTGGTGAGCTAATGTATGCTGTATATACTGGATTGCAGTCTTTAATTCTAAGTAATATACAGTTTCACCTGTTTGTAATTGGTGGCAAGAGGAGTTCACGTGTCCTTAATAGGTTGCTGATTGTTACAGCTACAGCTGGATGTGGAGGGGCAATCGAGTGATGGGAATCAAGCATCCCAAGCTTTTATGGGAGACAGTAAGTCTGTAACTTTACATAAAGACACTAGTTGCGCTCTTAGTGGCCTGAACTCTGGGCTTGATAACAAAATTCCTTTGAATTTTGAATTTATCACTAGACTCAGGGAAAAAAGAGATCAGTATTTGTGTGTTTAAATTTAAATTAATTCCCCTCTATCTTGGGTCACAACAAATTATAACTAACTTTGAAAAGAAAGGGAATCCTAGAACACCTGATTTTGCTCACTCAAAACTTGTACTTGAACCAAGAAGCAGTCATCAGAACAGAGTAAGGAAACACTGCATGGTTCAAAATCAGGAAAGGAGTGTGTCAGGGATAGGTCCTGTCTCCATACCTTTTCAATCTATATGCAGAACATTATTTGGGAGACTTGGCTTTATGAGGAAGAACATGACATCAGAAGTGGAGAAAAACTCATCACCAACCTGCATTATGCCAATGACACAACTTTGCTTGCTGAAACAGGAGAGGCTTGAAGCATTTTCTGCAGAAGGTCAAGGATTGCAGTCTTCAATATGGATTGAAGCTCAACATCAAGAAGACAAAGATTCCCACCACTGGGCCAAATGGCAGCAACATGGTAGATGGAGAGGAGATTGAGATTATTAACAATTTCACCTTGCTCAGTTCCACAGTCAACACTGCACCAGCAGTCAGGAAATCTGCTATGAGAGACATCCCCAGAGTGCCGAAGAGCAACAATGTCAGTCTGGAGACTAAGGTGCACCTGATCCAGGCCATGGTCTTTGCAGTTACTTGCTACACACCAGGGAGCTGGATAATGACTAAGGATGACAGAAGAAGAATTTGAGTTGTGCTGGAGAAGAGTATTGAAGATTTCGTTGACTGCCAAAAGAATAAACAGGTTTGTCTTGTAGAGGGTGAAATCAGTTTGTTCCTTGGGGGCAAAGATTTTGAAGCTCTGTCTCATACTTTGAACATGTGGTCAGAAAACATGCTTGGAAGGGTCAGTGCAGTAGAAGAAGACCCTGAATGAGATGGATTGACACAGTAACTGGGGTAATGGGGGTAGGTGTATCAGAGACAGTGAGATTGGCTCAGCATAGGACAAGGTTCAGAGCTATTGTGCATAGCGTCTCTATGAGTTGTAGGCAACTCAATGGTATATAACAACAACATTTTCTGTGTGCCAAACATCTACTGTAGGTATACATTCAGGTACTAGGATATGTTTGGCACACAGAGATGGATTTAAAGTAAAAAGCAAAACAAAACAAAACAAAAACCTATTTTAACTTTAGAAGTTGAGCTATGTAGACATACTTTGGATTTTTTTTAATTTTGGTGAGGTGTCTCAAACGTTGTGGAGACACAAGGCTTAAATACTATTCCTGTTTTCCCTCAGTGTATTTACACAAGATTCTTTGAGATCTGATGCTTTTAGCGTCCTGTTTAAAAAAAATTCCAAGATTCTCTGGTGATTCAGTGGTTAAAGCACTGAGGCTGCTAACCAGAAAATTGACAGTTGAAACCTATTTATTAGATACTCTTTCAGGGAAGTCTGGTGGCCCAGTAGTAAGGAATTGCAGCTGAAATGTAGGCAATTCCAATCCACCAGCTGCTCTGAGTGAAAGATGGGAAGTTTCCTCCTATCCAATTTACAGACTCTGAAAATCTGATGGAGAGTCTGTTATGAGTCAGTTCAAACTCCACTGCACACAGCAACCAGCTACTCTTTTGAAGAAAGACATGACAGTCTAGTTCCTCAAAGCCTGGATATGGTGATTCTATTCTGTCCTATGCAGTAAGAATCTACTTGATGATAGATAGTTTGATTTCCTTTGAGTCAGAATCCAAGCTGATACTTTTCCAGTGATGTGGCCAACCAAACCTGTCAAAAGATACAAAACAACTTAAACATTTTAAGGTTTGTTATTCTGAACTAAAGGTTATGTACCATGAAGTCAGTTGTTCATAGGGTCCCTATGAGTCAGTACCTTGCTATATCCTGCACTCCTTGATCTGTGACATGCTCAAGTCCATTGTTACATTCACTGCCAGTCTAGCTTGTTGTATGTCGTCTTCATCTAATACAAAGTATAAATACTATTTCTAATTTTCTTTTTAAGGGTCATAAGATACTTTGAGTTTTCTAGGTTGACACTTTTGGCCTGTAGCCAAATCTTTTTTTGACTGAAAAATAGAGAGAGAAAAAACCCCAAAAGCGTAATCAAAAGCCAAGGACTTCTGCTGGTGTTGTCACTATTCTATGGAAACTTCTATAGGAAACTGCACTGCTAACCTGAAGGTGGTGCTTCTCTAGTGGTTCCAGTTGCCGCAGGAGAAAATTACTAACAGCAGGTGAGTTGATTCTAACACAACAAGAATGAACTTGTGAATTTATCAGAGAATAATATACAAACTCAGACAGCTACAAGGAAATGAAAGTTTTAATTTCTAAGCTATCGGTTTAAAATAACCCAGATTGCTTATGAGAGAGAAACCATTATAATTAAGATTTGTCTACTCAGTAGGGTGCTCTGGTGGTCTACTGGTAAGAAGCTGTGCTACGATCCTGTAGGCACATGGTTTAGATCCACCAGCTGCTCCACAGGAGAAGGATGGGCAATCTCCTTCAGTGTGTTTTACTGCCTCTGAAAACCCACTGGAGGGTCAGCTATGAGTTAGTCTAACTTGAAGGTACACAATAACAACCTTGTGGAATTTAATAGACATAGGTACTTGTAAGAGCACAGTAAATGCTAGTGGAATAAATGAATGAGTGAATGAAATATAATTATGATGGCTTTTAAATATTTAGTGTGATTTCCATCTCTCTTATTGCCAGTGATTGGAGCATTTCTTCATGTGTCTGTTTGCCACTCGAATATCTTCTTCTCTGAAAAGTCTTCCCATGTCTTTTGCCCATTTTTAATTGGGTTATCAATCTTTTTCTTGTGGAGTCCCAGGAGTATTCTGTAAACTTTCATTATGAGACTCTTGTCTGAGATGG